TTTGTTCTGACATCACAATAAAACAAAATAAAAAAACTATTTTCTGATTGGTTTAAATATTATCTTAAACCAAGTTATTTTTGTTTGTTTTGTTGTGAAGTCAAAGAAAAAATTGCAATTTATTTTTAAGATTTTCATTTATTTCTTATAACATGAAAAATGATACGTTTGTGTCATTTTTGTGAAACGATATTCAAAATTATTTTTGTAATAAGATTGCGAAATGATTGTGGCGAGTTAGATAAGCGTGATAGTAACTTTGTTTCATTCTCAACTGCAGTAGTAACAGAAACTTTACCAATTAGAATAAGAGTACCATTCATCAAAGAGCAACAAACCACAATTTCACCTTATTGCCATGTACAGTCCATACTCAACAAGCTATACTATAATTTTCCATCTCAGCATTGACTTCTTCATAGAAGTACACACTTTATGTTTTCATCATAAACTTTATTGTCGCCATCCGACGTCAAACTAACAACTCTTACTCTCTAACTGTCCACAAATTGTAAACGTCACTCCTTTGATTAAACGTCACTCCTTTGATTAAACGTCACTCCTTTGATTAAACGTCACTCCTTTGATTAAACTTTGTAGGATCACATCGACTCACTTCTTTTTAGATCACGTTTCTAACTTTGCGTATATATTTTTTTTGCATCACGTACTACGCAAATTTCTTAAACAAACGGTCGGGGTCTTTTCAATTTTTCCACTTGATTCGTCATACAATAGCATCAAAAAACATATGGCATACATTAGCATACATTAGCATACAATAGCATACAATTGCATCAAAAACTGCTTTATAATTCTCTAACTGTCAATTTTGATGAATTTATTTAAAACTATATTTTCTCAATAACTTAAGGCAAAATGTGTAATTTCCAAAATGTGTAAATTCCAAAACTCTTCTTTACAACGTAATAGAACACATTTCGAGTATCATATCAAAATCTTACTGATTATATTACAAGAAAATGTAACATTAAAATCCCTACCATTAAACATAACTATGCGACTCACAAAAATTCCATCTTTTTAATACTTTATACGTTTATTTAAAAAAAAAATTTTTTTACTCTTTGAAAACCTCATGCCACTCTTTTTAACAACAAATTTTTAGACGTGTATGATTTTTATCATGCTTTATCAGCTCTGGCTAACTATATCCTCGGTACTCTGCGATAAGACTGTTAGGACTTCTTGGGACCTAAATTAAATTTAATTTTAAAGGCCTAAATTAAATTAAATTAAATAAAAAATATCAACTCTAAATCTTTAAAAACACATTCAAATCTTCTATCGCGTAATAATCTTGAGACAGAGAGCTAACAGCATCACTATCACTTATATTTATAGAATTCGAAGCAGCTCTTACTTTGGTTTACCTAATACCAATCGGGTAAATAAAGGTCAAATACTTGATTATAAAACCAGATTTATCAGATCGTTTCCCATTTTCCTAAGAATTAACTCAATTTTATCACTTAATATAAATAAAAGCTATTTAATAAGAAAACGTAATTTTAATAAAAAATATTTTAGAAATGTTTAGGCATCAATTATCATTATTAAACTAGAAACATACTTCAATGATGATATAAATATAATCTATAATGAATTCTTTAATACATTTTACACGGTGTACAATGCAAATTTTCCAGTCTCTAAAAAAATTGTACAACCAAAAACCTTAAATAGTCTTTGGATTACCAAAGACTATTTAAGGTTTTTATTATTAAGAGATTTTATTATTATTAAGAGATTTTATTATTATTAAGAGATTTTATTATTATTAAGAGATTTAGAAAATCTTCAAAAATTAAACAAAAATATAAAACACTTGAAAACAAAATCCAATGCAAATTTAAAAATATAGAAAAGCTATACTTGATAAAAATCGTAACAAATAAAAAAAATTGTTACTATAATCTAATTACTAAATATAAAATTGACTCAAAACATTTATGGAAATTATTAACAAAAACAAAAACAGGGAAACAGAAAACTCAAATATTAATCAAAATACCAAAAATGATTAAAATAAATAACGTATGTATTTGAGAACCAAATGAAATAGCAAATGAATTTAATAAATATTTTACTGGTATCGGAAGTGAACTTTCTAATTGAATTCCTTCTACTGATATTTTCTTTTATGACTTTTTATAATCTACCAACAGTTTACTTTTTCGCCATGATTTATTGCTAGATTTAGCAATTGAAGAGTTTGAAAGAGCCTTCAAAACTCTAAAAAATAAACAAAGCCATTGGCGCGGACAGAGTAAACAGAAACATAATTATAAATTGCAATGAAAACTTAAAAAATATTCGTTTTTAAAGTCTACAAAGCATCTATACAACAAGAAGTTTTTCCTGGCCAACTAAAAATTGCCAAAGTTATCCCGAATAACAAAGACGGTGAAAAATCAAATGTTAATAATTTTCGCCCTATTTCTGTTTTTTTTTCGTCTTCAAAAATTTGAGAAAAAATTATACACGACAAGTCATACAACTACCCGATTACGAATAATTTTTTAATAACTCCTTTTTTAGTATATATTAATGGTTTATATAATGCTACTCTTCTTATGAGCATTATTTGTTGACAATAGCAATTTATTTTTATCAATCAAAAACATAAGCAAACTTTTTTTAAATATGAATAAGGAACTTATACTAATTTCTATTTGGTTCAAACGCAATAAATTAACCTTAAATATTGACAAAACAAAATGGAATCATTTCCGTTCCTCAACAAAAAAACGTCTTTTGCCAAAAGATTTGCCTAAACTTTTTATTGATAAAATAGAAATTAAAGAAGATTCCATTATTATTCCATATTTATCTCGATGAAAGTCTGTCATGGAAAACTCATATTGATTATATATCATTAAAAGTTACAAAAATTATTTGGAATCCTATATGAGGCTAGAAATTATTTAAATAAAAATAATTTAAAACTAATATACTCCTCCTTATTTATTCATAGCTATGTAAACTATGCCTATATTGCTTGGGAAAGAACGGGTAAAAGTAAGTTACGACGTTTTTATCAGCATCAAAAACATGCAATGCGCGTAATATATTTTTTAGATCGTTTTTCAAATACAAAACCTTTATTCAAAGATACGAATGTTTCAAACGTTTATGAATATTTATTATACTAAAATTTACAAATATGTTTTATGTATTTTTGTATGAATAATCCTATATTAAATATTTTTAAAAATATATGCACCCTTAAAGCAAAAAATAGTTTTAATTTGCGAAATATTAGCTATTTTAACGAACCCTTTTGTCAAACAAAGTTTAATCAATTTTATTTAAGCGTATCTTTGAAATAAAGTTGTTCTGCCCAATTTCGATTTGTCTATCTCTTTTTCAGTTTTTAAAAATAAGTTTAAGAACATTTTTTTTTCAATTGATAATATAGGGCAAGGCTGCGTAAGATGAGCAGGTTCCTAAGATGGTATAACCTCTTTTACGGGTAGACTAATGATATTTTCGCGAACTTTTATGGTTAAGGATATTCATACAAGTTCGACGGTGTTATTTATTTTAATTTCTTGGTTGTTTAGTTAATATTCTTTGATTGTTTTACTTTTAAAAAAATTTACCATCCCCGTTATAATTTTTTATTATTCATTATTTTGTAATTACGTCAGAACGATACAACATCATCAAAAATTTATTACATCCTCAATATTTTATGTTGATCTACTACTAATTCCATGGGTTACTTGAGATAATACATAAGTTGTTGTCATGCTATTTAAATCATGATAGTACTTGATGAAGTTGCTTAAGATGATACGTTTTTAGACGCTTAAGATGAGATACGGCTTTTTATTAAGAAAAGCGCGTTTTTTTAAAAGCAACCTTCCCCTATTAAAATAATTTTTGAAAGAATAATTTTTAACCATTTACTATTTCAACTATTTAGATTGCTATTTTGATTTTAACTTCTTGAATTGTATAATATTTATATTTCAATTTTTATATGGTTCTGGCAACAAGATCAGTATGATCTTCTTCCAGATGCCGAGTTTATATTATACAACATGTAGTATATGTAAAATTAAAAAAAAAACAATGAAAAAAAAAAATAAAAAAAAAACTGGCATACCCCATCTTACAACATACTAAAATTTTTGAAAATTTAGCAAGATAGATGGCAAATTAGCAAGATCGATTTTACAATAATTTCAAGTTAAAATAAAAAGCAATGAAAAAGAATTTTTTTGTAAATAGTTCGCAGTAAAAGCTTCAACAGAAAATGCAGTACAGTATTTTTAGTTTTTTGAAACAAAATCGTACCCATTTTTTCAATGACTGTATACTTCTAAACATTTAGGTAAATCAAAAGAAAAAATCGTAATTGTAAAAAAACCGTTGCGCATGTTACGTTTACGATACAAAAGAGACATCAGAAGAAAGAAAAGAATCTTTTTTTTTTAACTAAAATATCTGAATACATGTTCCAATTGTTGAAGTAATAAGTTAACATATTATAATTTAAAAACTTTTTTATGCAACTCAAAACTGATGCCTCCTCAACGCGTCAACAAAGGTTTTTGTAGTAAATTGTTAACGATTTATTAATTATAAAATTCCAGGAAATTGAATGAAAAAAATACTGTTGCTAAATATTGTCATTAAAATATATAAATATATTGTCATGAAAAACAAAATAATCGAATTTCATTAAAAAAACCTGATAATTACGTTTTTTATCATATAAATTATATTCATACTTGTCCATTCTAACAAATAATTTGTAAAGCTTATTGCTGTTTCTTTAGAATTGTTATTATGAAACAGAAAAAGCACCATTGTCAAAGTGTTCTATAAAGCTACTTAATACATGAGTATTTTTTAATTTATTTGAAAAAGCAATATATTTTTTAAAATAGAACACGCAGCTCTTACCAACCAATTTTTTTTTTCAAGAAAAAACCCACATACAGTTCAGGATGTTAGCAATATTGTAGAGCTTTTCATTTAAGACAAAAATTATAAATCGGCTAAAACTATTTGTCTCTATATATAGACGGCTTAATAAAATATCAACTCTAGAGCATGATTTTTAAAAGCCGTTTTTTGTTGATGGGTTTGATATTAAAACAAAGGTACATAAATATTTATTTTGAAAAATTGCAAATAGTATAAGTATACAAATATAATAAAACAGAAGTCCGCATATATATTTATTTTATATGGATTTTAAAATTGTGTTATAATTATTTAAACATGATACCTTAAACCCTTGTGTCTTTACAATCAATAAATCTAATAATTTAATTAAATTTCAACAAGTTGTAAAATATATAATTATGTCTAACAAATTAATATAGAAAGTAAATATTAGGAGTTATTAAAGATTTTTTTTAATTCTCTTTTTAATTAGTTATATGATTATAATTAAAACAATAAAAGAAAAAAATCTATAAATTTATTTATAAAATGTTCTCTGCGTTTTTCTCCTTTGTTTTATCCGCAGTTTGTTTAGCTTTAAAAAAGTTGAAGTGTAAACAAACAAAAAAAAATTTTTTGGAATAAAAATTATTATTAAATGAATTTATTGTGTCGTAAATTTAATATTAACGTTATTCAATCGCGTCATATTGTTTTTATAATTTGTTGTTTTTTTGGTTCTCATTTTTATTCCTTTAGAAAAAAATAAGAATGAAAAAAAAACCCATAAACATTTTAATTTAAATCTCAGACAATTTATCTGACTAGTAATTCAGTATGATAAAGCTTGATTAACTTAGTCATAAATTAGAAATAACAAAATGTAAAATCAAAGTGCATTGAAGAATAACTATTAATAGAAAAGTTTAATTCATAGTTTTTTAAAAATTTAGCACTTGCTAACAATATTAGAAGCTATTTTAATCTTTACATAAACTAGAAAAAAGATGATGTTTACTGGAGTATTATGTATCTAGTTTGGTTTTAAGCACCAAAATTGTTATAGAATTTTTTTTAAATTCAAGTCTATAAAGTATTGCTTAGACAATGTAACATCTTATGTAATAGCTTGAATAAAAAAACGAAAAAAAAATCATTTATTACCTGTAATAACTATATATAAATCAGAACATCTTGTTTTAATTTAACTTAATATTTTTTGAAACTCATTAAATTGTTTTTATTTTAAAGAGATTTTTTATTGATAGTTCACAATTTTAATTTTTTCTTTAAAACATCATAGTGATAGTTTAAAAAAATTATGATTCCAGAAAAGCTCAAAAAAAATAAATTGTCTGAGATTTAAATTAAAATGTTTATGGTTTTTTTTTCTCTTGTTAAATATGTTTATATCTTTAAAAAATTTTTTAAATGAATTTTTTTTTTATTAATACTGATTATCTGTTCTTTTTTGAAGAAGTCATTTTTTTTTTCTGAAAACAAAGTTTGGATTTAGGTGCACATTTAAAAGAATAAAGTTTGCAACAAATACTAGTATCTAGCAGACCTAATTCTGCAGTGGTAAATGTATTTTAATTACTGGCTACTTAGGTATGCTTAAAGTACTACACATGCTCTATGATGTCACATTGAAATAGATAATAACAAGAAATTCTGTATATACAATTGAGATTTTGATTTTGGCAGCAGTAACTACATTTATAAGAATTCTTTTAGGTTTTAAAGTTTTCTATCATTCATCTGTTTTTACTTCTTTTAAAAAAAGCATATATATATATATATATATATATATATATATATATATATATATATATATATATATATATATATATATATATATATATATATATATATATATATATATATTTAAACAATTTAAAATGTATTCTACAAAAAGAGTGCTCAATGTTCTTAAAAGAACAGAGCAATTACAAATTAGTAGAAAATCACTTAGCAAAATTTTTTCTCATTTAACACTGTGTTTCATCAATAAAGACTCATCAGAAATGAATGATCAAATTAATATATATATATATATATATATATATATATATATATATATATATATATATATATATATATATATATATATATATATATATATATATATATATGTAATCTAATTTATTTGTTTTAGATAAAATCAATAATGAACAACTGCTCACAAAAATGCTAAGAATGCTTCTGTTGATTTTATTTTTATTATATTCTTGTCAAATTGGACTTTCCTATACACCTCCTGTACTTTTAGAAGAGCCTGAAGATACATTTGGATATGATAAAAAGCCCTTAACTTTAAAATGTAGATCATCTAGTTCACCACCTCCACGGTATTTATGGTTTAAAGATAATAATGAAGTTTCTAACACTAGATATACAATTACAAGTGTGGGTGATCTTGTCATATCACCATTTGTTGCAACTGAAGATGTTGGAATATATAGATGTATGGTTAAAGTAGATGTTGCAATAAATAATGCTGAATTAAAACTAGTCTCTAGAAATGCAAAGGTTCAAATAGAAGGTATTATATTTCAAAAATTTTATAATAAGAAAAGACTTTTTAGAAAAAAATAATTAAAAACACTATTATCTTAGACATTGGAGCAATTATGAGGAGCATAATTTAATAACTGAAGGGCAGTAAAAAAATTTTTAGTGTTTTTTTTTTTATTATCAAATTACTTTAAGAAATTACATCTTTTTGAATTTAAGTTGGCCAATTTTCACATTAATTTTGCATTTTCATTTTTAAATTAAAGTGAAAATCTGCTAACTTAACCTATTACTAATATTTTCACTTTAGTTTGGTATTTTTTCATTTTAAATAGGCAATTTCCACTTAATTTGTTAAGTGAAAATTGCCCAAATTAAAAAAAAAAAAAGCCAAATTAAAGTGAAAGTTGGCCAACTTAAACGCAAAAAGGTGTAGTTATTGCCTTTAGTTTATTAAATGAAAATGGTTTCTTTTGTATAATTAAAACATAGAATATTACCAATGGATTTGAAAAATATGTTCAATAAGATAAATTTGAAATTTTTTTGAGCAACCTTTGTAAGAGTAAATTCAAGAATAGATCCATATCTTTGGATTTATGGAAGAATTACAAGAGGTACATGATTTCATGAATAGGATTTACCTAACTATCAAATTTATTTTTAATGAATCTGATTCTTCAATTGATTTTTTAAACATGTCACTATATAAGGACAGATATGGGTGTATCCAAAATACTTTATACAGAAAGTCAACAGATACAATGAACATTCTACATCATAAATCCAATCACCATCTAATGAAAAGCATTATATACAGCCAAGGGTTACTAACTTGTTAGCGTTACAACCTTATTAGCACTTTAATAGAATTATATCAGAACGAGAAAATCTTTCTAAAGAACTGCTAGCTTTTGCACAAATCTTTGTGTTAGGAGGTTAAATAGTGAAATATATTAATTTACAAGGGGATTTCTATTTCTGTGCGTGATTTTTTATTTTTCTTTGTTTTAGCAATTAAAAGCTGGGACTTGAAGTAATATTCATACTATTATGGTTTTCTTAAAAAAACATTTATAACAAAAACATTTTTATCATATCTTAGGCTACCTGAATAAATTAAGTATATATATATTTTGATCATTTTACTTTTGCGTAATAATATCGCTACAGTTTGAAAATAAACAACAATTTCCAAAACGCTATACTTTAGCTAGAAATAATTGATGACTGCCATTTCTCATTGAAAATATGTTAAATATGAGTTGTAGAAGCGTAATATTTAATTTAATATACACACAAGCAATTTATTTTCATAAAAATATCTACATGAAATTAACAAATTCGCAACTTCTGTGCGTGATCATTCATGAACTGCATTTAAATGGTTGCTGACTCTATGATACATAATGCAATCCTGTAACTTTCTGGAAAGCTTTACTAATGTTTAAAACATCACTGAAACTTATATTTATTGAGGAATTAAAGTTTATCTAGTAACTAAAATTTCAGTTTTTCTGTTTTGTGCGTGATTCCGCTTTAAACTTTATCCTTTGTTAACATTAATAATGCATGCCATTTTTTGTTTACAAAATATTTATATAGGTTAGAATTAAATGAGAGCAAATTGGAGATCACCAATTTTATTATTATGAAAATAATAAACAAAACATATACGAGTTTATGTGAGTTATTTTTTGGAAATATCCACTAGAGCTTTGCAATTTAGTCAAAATCAACTAGTTAATAAACCCCCTACAAATATAGATGTAGATATATACCCATAGTAACTCCTTATTGTGATATTGGGAGAGATATCAAAAAAATCGCTTTGAAGCATTGACATATTATTAGAGATGACCTCTATTTAGCAGAAATATTCCCATTGATACCCACACCCACTTATTCCATTGCAGCATCGATTAAAGATATTTTAATACATTCCGCCCATAAATAATATATACATTTGAAGTTTAGACTATTTATAAATTTTAGTTATTTGATGTTTGAGAATATTATTATATTAGTCTGTTTATTTTTAATACATCATTACCTTTGCATTGGTCACACATCCATATCTATTCTGCTGTTTTTATATCTTATATGAGAGATTTATTTACATTTTACTACACATTAGGTTAGAAATATCCCATAAAAACGTTTGGACCATTTTTTAGGCTCAACCTGATACCACTATTATGTTATTATTGTTTATGAGCTTTATCCTATACCACAATTACCTTATATTTCTAGTTGTTATTTTTGTAAGATTAGAATTCTATTAACAGCTGTTGAACTATTAATTTCCCTGGATCATATTTTTAGCTAATAGAATTGCAAGTATTTTTTATTCATTTGATGTTGCCAAGTCACTTTGTTATTGTTAGCACTGCTCTGTCTTCAATTAACATCTTATTATTTTTCTTGGCAGCAGTTTTGTTTTCAGTTTAATTGTTGTCAGCTACAATAATTAGCTGACTACTTCTTAAAAATTTTTTTTTTATTAATTTATCGAATATGGTAAGATACTTATCTATCTTTTTGCTTTCTTTTTTTTCTTCGAATATTTTTGTATTAAATTTTTATCTTAATGTGTATTTTCTGAAAATTATTGGTGTTGCCTAAATTTAGGAGGGGTGAGGGTGATTGGCTTTTCTGTAGTGAGGTCCGTTTTATTGAAATAATAACTGATATGATGTAGGCTACAGGAAATGATAAAGATAGCAAGTATGCATCCCTGATAAGCGATGCTAGCCATTTTTTATCAGGCTCTTTGAAACATCAAATATAAATTTTAAATATTTTTGATCAATCTTCATGTAAGAGTAAATTCAAAAATTTTTTTTTTTTTTTTTGTAAAAGTTATCTTAGGTAATTCATGTAAAAGTTAATTTATTAAAGTCTAGATATATTTTATAAGTAGTTTTGAATGTGTTGTTTTGTACCAGAGGCAAAATTTTAATTTTTTATAAAATTGTGTGATCTATTTTGCAAATACTTTGTTAATTCAACTATTTTTAGCTGCAAAATATTTTCTAAATCAGCCTGGATCTTAATTGGATTCACCTTCTATTTATAAAAAATAAACTTTAAAAGTTTTTTTCATAAAAAACTCTTTAGTAAACATTTTTTAATTAACACATGGTTTAACACATTTTGCAGAATTTAAAAAATTATGTAGAATAATTTTTTTTAAAATAAATTATATGCACTTAAGTATTTGAAATCATATATAACTTCAAAAAATAGATAAATAAATAAATAAACTGTAATTAAATGAAAGAAATAAACAGGAGTTAATTTTTTTATTTTAATAACAATTATGAGATTTTTTTCTTTTTAATATCAACAATAATAATTTACTTTACTATAAGAAATCATTACCACTCCAAACTTTATTTGTTTATATTTGTTTAATAATTTTGAAAATTTGCTTCCTGCTTATTTATGAAAATTTATTAAAACTTTTTTTTAAAGTTTTTTTCTTTGTTAGCTAAGCAAAACAAAGAAAATTTTTATATAAACAAGGCAATACAAATTTTTATTTATATAAAAGAATAAAAAATATTTTTTTAAAACTCAACATCATTTAACAAATAAATATTTGTTTATTTACAATTATTATATTTTATACATAATAACGAAATAAAATATATAAAGAAAAGTATATATTTACAAAAAAATTTTCACTAAATGTGCATCATCAATAAAAAATTAATTAACCAACTATTTTTCCACAACTTCTTCTCTTCATACAGGGTGACCAGAAAGTTCTGGCACATAGTAAAATTGCAATAAAAACGATTAAAATTAAAAAAAGCAAATAAGATTAAAAATAAACTTTATTCTAATAAATAACTATCACATTACAACATTAGATTTCAGAATAACCACCTTTAGCTTTGATACAGGCCCTAAGTATTTTGGGGAAATCATTGACTGCGTCGCGCAGGTATTCTGGAGAAAAAATTATTCCATTCCTTCTGAAGTGCTTGGCGCAAAGAGTCCAAATTCCTATGAGGAATAGAACATGCCTTGGTCTTTAAAACTGACAACACAAAATAATCTAACGGGTTGAGATCTGGCAAGTAGGGAGGCCATTCTTGGGCGCTGATAAAATCAGAAAATTGTTTTTGCACCACCCTTGAACGATTTTTGCCTTTTGGACTGGAGCTGAATCTTGTTGAAATCTCCAGGGCTTTGTACCAAAATGTTATTGGGACCATGGAAGTACTTCTTTTATAAGAACATCATTTAAATAGTTTTGACTCCAGAATCCACAAAAACTAACGGAGTTAGTTATCCAAAGTTATCCCTCCAAAAACCATAACAGATTGCAGATGCTCTGAACGAGAAGTGATTCTACCCTTCATGCTTGCATCACTGATACTTCTGGACAGTATCTGATCATTTTGATAGTTTAAGAAAGCTTTAACATTGAATAAACATTCATCAGTGAAAATAATTTCCTGAGTGGCGCGTCGAAGAAAAACATTTGAGCAAAAGCTTGCAACTTTCCATTCTTACTTTCTTCATATTGTCTGAGAAGCTCTTTGGATCTTGTATGGGATAAGTTTTAGCTTATCCTTGCATATTTTTCTCAGGGATTCACGACCTATTTGCAAATCATTTGCGCCATTTTTCTCATTGACCTCCTTGGATTGCCATGAATTCTATCATCCACTTTTTTGATAATAGTTTTGCTACTTGATGTTGGAAGTCTTCCGCTTCTAGGCTTGTTTTGGGTACTGCCTGTCTCCTTTAAACGTTTCAAATTGTTATAGACACTTCTTTGAGGAATTTTAAGTCTTTTTGCTATCTCTACTCCAGTGCATCCACTAAAGAACAAATGTTCTATATAAAACTCAAGTGAAAATGAGTTATTTCTGTTTTGATTGAGTGTTTTTTTATGTACGTAACTAATGAAGTATAATCCTATAGTTTATATTAAAAGTAATTAAAAAGTTTGTTTGTTTTCAGAATTTGCATAGACTTAACTAAATTAGGTTTTTTATTTTTAAAAAGATTTCAAATGAAAATATGAAACTAAATGTTTAAAAAGTTATAAAAAACTATTATTTTGTGTTCTACATTTCTGTTTGTTTTTTTTTAATATTATTTCCTTTAGGTCAGTTGCGCAAGCCTTTAAGAATTCATTAAAAAAAAAAAAAGGCTTTGCGCAACTGACCAGAAGGTCAGTTGCGCAAAGCCTTTTTTTTTATAATGAATTCTTTATTCATATCAGTTGCACATCTGGAGTTAATTTAAAAATAATTAAGATAAAAACATGTATTTAAAAAAAATTATAAATTATTTATAATTTTTTTAAATACATGTTTATTTATAAAAACTTTTTTTATCTCAGGCGCTTACAAAAACAATTGATTAACAAATATTTTTTTGCTTTTCTTGATAAATGTTTAATATTTTTTGTTTACATACTGCAATGTAATTCAAGCTAATATAAAATAATCAGGGCTCAACAAATCTTTTCTTTTTGATATTTTGATTTTGTCTCAATATTTATTGGTGAACATCTACAGTCATAGCTGTTTGTAAATTACCACTAGCATTACTAGTCTAGTGTGGACAATTTTGAAACTTAATTTTTATTTTTTATTTTAATTAAATTTAAGATGATAAAATGACGGTTTTATGTTTTGATGTTACAAACTGTATAAAACAGCAATAAAACAATATGGCAAATTTGTTTTGTATTAACACAAGTTTTTTATATTGACAAAACAAATTTGCAGTTATGTTTTATTGTTGTTTTATACAAGGTTTTTTACAATAACAATTTAACAGGTATTTAAAATAAAAAATGTTTTATTTTCAATATGTACAAGGTATTAGGATATTTTAGGGTTATTTATTTTAGATTTGAATTAGAAATGAATTAAATCAATTTAAATAAAACAATCATTTTTTAATTAAAATAAAAGTAGCAAAACGAACCTTTTATTTAATTTGTAAAAAGAAAACATTCTAAATTATATATTCGAAAATAAAAATGTTAAAACTAGTTTTATTCATTTTTCAAGTTTTAAAGCAAAGGTTGGTGTTTAAAAAAATTTGTACACTCTTTGAGTTTTCTCAAGATTTGTTTTTCTGTCAGTTTTTAGCTAAACATGTCGCATCCTGATAATTTTAACATTTAATTTTTTTTAACAAAAAAAATTTTTAGTGTGGTTTTTTGTGCATAAACTGACTTATGTGGGTGTGGAGGTGGAGGAGTAATATCCTACCTTTCTTGCCGAAGCATATATATATATATATATATATATATATATATATATATATATATATATATATATATATATGTATATATATATATATATATATTTTATTCAAGCTTGTTTTATTCCTAAGAGTTTTAGCACATGTACATGACGTCATTGATTTTTTTGTTAGTGTAAAAGATTGATTATGTAAACAAACAAGAAAATTGATGATTTCATGTACTAAAATTTTGGGATGGTTGGGTTTTGGCTATTTGTAGTGAGTCCTTTTTTACTGCAGTATGGAGCATAAGTGGCAATGATGTTTGTCTGATGGGATAAACTAGTTATTAGTGCTGATCCTCATCGAAACGCCAGTAATAATAGACGCGACTCTGAAAAAAAAAAGTGTCAGTAAAAATTAGGTAATTTTTTTTAAGTAAAATTTTATTATTAAACAACATTTAGTAATATTTTTAATCAAAATTGAGATAAAAATAAAAATTTTTTTTATTTTTAATTTTATGTGAACCTATTTCATTTATAAATAGCGCTTTTATCAAAGGTTATTGTTGTTCAAACTTTGTGGTTAAATTTAGAATTTTATATTTTTTGAAAAAACATCACATGTTAAAAGATAATTTAAATATTCCAAAACAACTATGTTTTTGGTGAAACTGCTGAACATGTATGCAAATTGCTATTTTTATGTAAAATATGAGCTGCATAACGCTTCTTGGTAAAGACTGATATATATATATATATATATATATATATATATATATATATATATATGTATATATATATATATATATATATATATATACATATATACATATATATATATATATATATATATATATATATATATATATATATATATATATATATATATATATATATATATATATATATATATATATATATATATAAATATATATATATATATATATATATATATATATATATATATATATATATATATATATATATATATATATATATATATATATATATATATATACACAACTAGAATAAAATTTAATAAACTAAAAAACGGTAAGTTTATTTGAATCATGTTTTTAATTACATTTGGAATAAAAAAATTTTTTTAATTAAAGGAACAATTTAATTCTAATGATTGTTTAAAAAATATTTGCACTTAATTTAAATTTTTTTTTTTTACTAATTTAAAAAAATAAGTTTCCATGTAAATACAAGTGAGTAAATAATTATGCATTAAAAACCATTTCATTGATCTGTTTAAACATTTATACATTTTATTTTATTTTTTTAATTTGTTTCAAAAAATTAACATGTATCATACAAAATACATAATTATATAAATAAAAAAAAACTATATATAAAATTTATTAATTCAAAAAATCATTAGCATTGTTTTGATACTTCATTAAAAGCAAAAAAAAATTCAATAATATAAAAGCATTAAAGATCAAACTTTTTAAATTGTAACCGCCTTTAAAAACATTTGTTATTTTTTATTCAACTAAATTTTTTTTTTTAAGTGTTAGTATTAGCTTTAATGATTCTTAGTTCATTAAAGAGACTTTCGTTATTGAAGAATATCATTATTTATTTAAATATAATAATTTTTTTATTTTTAATAATGTTTATTGTTATTTTTTAATGTTATTATAAAAAATGCATACTTATAGAATTTATATAATATAAGTTTAAAAAATTAAATACAACTTTCAAGAATATTTTAAACAAAAATCATTATCAGTAAATTGTTACTTTATTTAAATGTATTTCGCTAATATAAAACATTAGATGTTTCAATGTCATTTATAAAATATTAGATGAAAGTTTATTTCTCTAGGAAATAGAATTAGATGTCATTTATTTCTCTAAGTTTTAATTTAGAATCTTTTTCATACTATGGGTTTTTGAAATTGCTGTGGTCAAATTGTCAATACAAGATATTATGATATTATTTGCCTGGCATGTGATCGCTCACCTTTCTGTGAAAACCTACTGTATATATATATATATATATATATATATATATATATATATATATATATATATATATATATATATATATATAAACATAGACACACACCACTCTTGCTAAAGTCTGTGTATATATATATATATATATATATATATATATATATATATATATATATATATATATATATATATATATATATATGTATATATATATATATATATATATATATATATAAATATATATATGTATATATATATATATGTATATATATATATATATATATATATACACAGACTTTAGCAAGAGTGGTGTGTCTATGTTTATATATATATATATATATATGAATATATATATATATATATATATATATATATATATATATATATATATATATATATATATATATATATATATATATAAAATATGTATATATATATATACATATAAAATTATGTATATATATATACATATAAATTATATGTATATATATACACACACACACGCACACATGCATTTGTATAAATTTTATTTGGTATAGAGTTTCCGCAAATTTTTGCTTCTGATATATCTGCAACTACTGGTTATGTTAATGGGGCATTGAGATTATCTGTAAATGTGAGTAATTTTAACCCAAAACCAAAAATTGGATGGAACTATCGAGGAAAACCGTCAGTTCAAGATAATGATCCACGTTTTACTGTACTTTCACAAGGAGTTTTACAAATAAGTGGGTTGTTGTCATCAGATGATGGAGAAATCAGAGCTATTGCTATAAGCAAATCTAACAGCAACACTATGTTTGGAAAGTTTTCTAAAGTTACTGTTGAAGAAGGTTTGTGCTAATTTATAATTAATTTAATTTATAAATAATTTTAATATTGCTAAAGATTGATTTAATATTTTTATATTTATAGTTATTATTATTTATATTTTGATTATTTTATTATTTATTTTAGTTTTCAAAATTTTGATAATTGAATTTCATAGGTTTATTGTTTGATGAATTTGATAATATACAGATAAAATTTCTTTGCAAAACTAGGTAAGACATAGAAATAGTTGTAAAACAAACAAAAAACAGCAAAGTTTTTTTTTGAAATTAAGTTCGAAGAAGTAAAAAATAAAAATGCTTTTGGTAATAAAATAAATTTCAATAATAATAATAATAATAATAAAACATGGAGGACAAACTCAAGTAACAAGCAAAGCTTGAACAAAAGCTAAAAAAAAAAAAAGTAGTAAAGCAATTAAGCATATTTAATTTTAAATTAGTTTATGTTTTTTAAAAAAATTAATTTATTTAGTTTTTAACCAAATTTAAAAGTTTGATGCATAATAAGAATCATGAAAAATATTTTATATGACATTTTTTTTCAAAAATATTTTATATGACATTTTTTTTCAAAAATACTTTATATTTTTTTTCAAAAATATTTTATATGACATTTTTCTCAAAAATATTTTATATGACATTTTTCTTAAAAATATTTTATATAACATTTTCATCAAAAATATTTTATATGAAATTTTCCTCAAAAAAAAATCGAAAAAAAAAAATTGAACATACAAAACATTGACTAAAAATTCAAAAAAATTTCAAAAATCAACTTAAGTTAACTAGTATGTAAATAGTACTATTAATATATATTTGATATACTATTAATATATATTTGTTACATAGTAGTTAAACATTATACTATATATTTTATTACACTATAAAGGTTTTATATTATGATATAGTATTGCATTTTATTATATTAAAAATACAAAATGTTTTTATTGTATTATAAAAAAATATAAAGAATATTTATGCATTTTTAAGCATCACTTCGGCCACAAAATAAATTGTTTTATTTTCTTGGAACACCTCAAAATATTGAACTTGAATGGGGCCACTCAACAATTTTGGAAGCATTTGCTGACAGTTCTACTTCAGTATTATATACTTGGTTTAAAGATGGAAAGAAAGTTATATTAAGTGATAGATTATCCATTGTTGGAAAAGGTAATTTAAAAATTCAGTTTGCAAAAGATGAAGATACTGGTCTATATAAAGTTATAGCAGAATCAGCTGGTCAGCAAATTGAAGCCATTGCGCAAGTCAAAGTTATCAGTGAGTCATTTATGTATTTTTTTTTTTTTTTCTTTTATTTGTGTTGTGTTTTACATTTGGTGTTGCATTATATTAGAACTTTTTGATATAGAAATTCTTTTTTTTTTGAAGGAGGGGGAGGGGGAGGGGGGGCAGACACAGAAATTTGTGTTGTTACTACTAGGAGTTTTTTATTAGGCAAATTTTTAAATTTATAATAGATTTTGAGTAATCTTTCAGATAACATGGGAGTGAAAAAGATGATAAAATTCAAAAATAGAGAATATCAACATATATCATTTAAAATTGACAGATATCATTTAAATTGACATATTTCATTTAAAATTGACAATTTGATAATAATCCTGTTAACCTTAATTTTTAAAGTGCTGACTTTAAAATCCTGGGGTTTTATATATATATGTGATATATGTATATTAGGTTATCCCAAAGCGACATGAATTTTTTTAGTTTTTAACTATTTCTAGATTTTCAATCAGTTTCATATGTATTTTTATCTACTAAAAGCAAAAAAAAAAAAAAAAAAAAAAATTTCATATTTGACCCCCCCCCCCCACGCCGCTCTTTTTTGTGTTAATATAATTTCAAATAGTTTTGTAATAAATAAAAATGAAAATTTATTAATAATAAATTTTCACCTGGTTTATGACCCCCCCCATCCTTTCTAATAATATCTTTGGCGTATAATTTTTTTCTGCCTAAATAAGGAACATTATAAGTTATAATTTTTAATTAAAACAAAAAAACTTGATAAATACTCAATTATTAAACAAAGAAGCAAAGAAATGATTGGTATAAGTTAACAATATTAAACAAAGAAGCAAAGAAATGATTGGTATAAGTTAACAATATTAAAGCACAATGGGAATAAGTACTAAGAAATTTAAAATCTCTTTTTTTTAAAATTATAACAACAAAATAACAATATTTTTAAGGTATAATAAAAGAGATTGTTTCATGCATATTTTATAAGTTTTTGAATTGCTTGTTTATTTATGTGAGGAAGAAATTGCTCATCATCTTTTGTAATAGATGTTGCATAGTCTTGAATTAGTTTAACAGCTTGTTCTGCTGTATCGTTTACAGATTTCAGTGATTTGATATGCTTAAACATGTGATTAAAATTTTTGTTAGCTTTCCAAAACTTTGGGGGTTTTACCAACCAACCGTCGTCCTCATTTGAATATCAAAATAAATTTAGAATGTTACTTGATTTTGGTCCAATTAAATCAGTCAAACAAGTACTCTGCTTTAGAAGAGGAAATTGTGGAAAGCCTATATCGTGTTCACAGTTTTCTTTTATATTTTTCAGAATCGTTTTAGCAATTTTAGTTTTATCTCAATCAGATACCTTATCAGAAAATAATGAAAGAGGGGACATTTCTTTGGTTAAATACCAAAGATGCCGATTAAATGTTTCCAGGACAGCAAAAGCAACATCATTGTCAATTTTTTTATAAATAAGCATTTCTTTGTAGAATTCCAAGTCATTAAATGGGGCAATGACTGTGCTTGTGCACGTAAGTCATATTTTCACATAAAATAGTAAAGTAAATTTACAAAACCGTGACAATTTCTCTATAAAACTTTCGTCATACTCTGCCAGGTCAGCAAAAGCAAACATCTTTGATGTGTACAAGATTGTACACATCCATCTAGCATGATGGAAGGCTCCAGGTTTGTGCCACTGTATATTTATTTGTTTTGGATTGAGTAATTGCAAAGCAAGTTGACAACATTCTCGAAAATCATCTCTTCACATTTTTTGAGATTTCCGGTTAAGAAAACCAGACAAAAAAATTATTACTTCTGCTTATTTGGTCTTTAATACTGGTTCTTTGATTTTTATTTATCTAAAAGTAGTATCTGAAGTTAATGAAAGCTTAGGCCATACCTCATTTTTAAAGTTTCTAAATGGCTCATAATTTGGAGATCTACATTTTCCAAAAACTTTCAAGTAAACAGAAGACAAAACTCTTTCAAAAATATGGTGTCGGCAGACGCACCAAAGTAACTTTTTGTTTAAGTTTTCTTCAATTAACTTAGCAGAACCATTTATCCAACCTGAATTTGATGGAGTTGTGTCAAAAATCATTGCCACAAGTGTTTTTTCTAGTTTCCATGCCTTTAAAGCATCTATGGTAGCTGTTGCCTGACTTCGCCCAGTTGTATCAGGAATCCTGGATACACATAATAATTTCCCTTCAGGTGCACTTGGTTTTTCTGTTACAACAATAGCCAAACGTTTCACTTTATTATCGACCTCAGATACTAGCTTTGAATCCCAGTGAATGGAAGTGAATGGAACTTGCTGTCAAATTTTATTACCTGATCTGAGCGCTGTGTATTTTGAGAAAGATATTTCATCTAAATTGTAACCTTATGCTTCAGCTACAGCTAAAATGATTCCAGATCTTTCTCTGTTGTATAGATTCAACCTATCAGCCATTAAGGAAACTTTAGGGTTTTCTAATATCTTGATTTTTTTTTTCTGTCTAGCAATAGTACTTTCTTCATTTTTATTATAAGTTTTGTCTTCATTATCAAATGATGCCAATACATTGAAGCTTTTTTCTTCTATGTTTTCCTTTTTAGATTTCTCTTTTTCAATAGCCTTGATTTTATGTTTCTCTTTTTCCTCCTTTCTTTTCACTTTCATAGCATAACTCTTGTCTAATGGGCCCAATAATTGCTTTTTTAAGTGACACTGATCTGAGAGAAAGACTATATTTGAGGTCTGACTATTGATACTACGCGAGGTATCTTTTCTTATCAAATTTTCTGCATTTGATGCTGCAATATCAAACAACAATAATAATTTATTAGTAAAACTCAGAAGTTGAGTTGCATAACATTTTTTTTTTGCATTTTTAATCAAGTTCTCTCTAAGATGATACAGATGTAGTATCATTCTGACAATATCTTTCTTCTGTTTTATTGGAATTCCTGCCATTTTCCAAAAAACAATAACTTTTTCCCAAACTACTGATGCAACTTCTTTTTTACCAGTTAATTTCAATTCAAATCTTGCAAGATAAAGATAATGGCATACAACATCTCCATTTGTTGGTAGTTGACTATACATCTTTGCTTCAAGGGTAGGTAATAATTTACCAACAATATTATCAAATTTCTCATCATTTTTCCTCAATTAGCTATTGCTCATTACATCTATTACATCTATAGATAAAAAAGTAGCTATAAATTATAAAATTATTTGAATAATGTATGTAACATTAATATTCATCATAAAAAATTTTCTCATCTCAAGCATTGCGAATAATATTATTTAATAATTTTTGAGAATCATTGAATTGAAACAAATTAAATTTACTAATATTAGCTATGATACATAGTTTAGAATTATAATAGTGATCAATATTGATACAAAGCATATTTAATTTCAATCATACATTTATATATTTAGCCTAAAATCAATTTAAAAGTAAATAGTTTTCAAAAAGTGGGCGGCAGCGGGGGTAAAAACTTTAAAAGAATCAAACTTCAGAATTTTTCAAAAATCTTATTTTCACTTTTAACAGACAAAACTACACACAAAACTAAAGGAAAATTTTTAATTTTCCTTTAGTTTTGTGTGTAGTTTTGTCTGTAGTTTAGAGAGAGAGAGAAAGAGAGAGAAAGAGAGACAGAGTGTTAGCCAGAAATATATTTTTTACTGTGTTTTGCAATATTGTGAATATTTATTGTTATTGTTTTACAAAGTGTTGGGAATTTTTATTGAAATTGTTTTACTCCTTCGAAGAAGAAATAAAAGGTTATTACATTTTGGGAATGTTAAACCCATTGGCAATTCCGCGTTATATGCGGTGTCATTGGGCTGGCTAACACCCATAGAGAGAGAGAGAGAGAGAGAGAGAGAGAGAGAGAGAGAGAGAGAGAGAGAGAGAGAGAGAGAGAGAGAGAGAGAGAGAGAGAGAGAGAGAGAGAGAGAGAAGGAGAGAAAGCTGCAAAAAAAAACACATACTTTTAATTGTATATTATTTACTACACATGTGTAGTAATTACCTTTTGTTCTCCACTCAAGACTCTGTCTTAAAATTTGGGATCTAGTATATTGGCAGCCAAGTGAATTTCTATTAAACAAAATTCTTTTTTTGAAGATCTTTTTGGCTTCTTCTTCCTTTTATGATAATGGGCTAACTGTTAAGTTTTTAAAAATTTGGTTTTCCCACAAGTGAAAAGTTTCCACAACATAGATAACATGAGAGTACTTGATTCAGTTTTCTTTATTGCATCAGCCATTGGTGACAGCAATTTGAAAAAACCTTTAACCCTTTAAAACATCTGATGAAAAAATATTTTTTGTTGCTGAATTAAGCCAATCTTTTTAATGGTTGCTTGTTTTCTGTGTGCTATCTAAGCATATTACAGTTGATCCCCACCTTTGTTGATCCCCACCTTTAAATAAAGTACAAAGAAATTACAATAACTTTAATAAATTTAGAGTAAAATAATTATAATAATAACTATTTTTATGAATGTATAAAATTAGTTACATAGTTCAATTTTATTTGTAATGTATATAAAAAAATATATATTATATATATATATATATATATATATATATATATATATATATATATATATATATATATATATACCTTTAGTATATTTATACCTTTAATTGTATTACCTAGTTCGTACTGGTAGTTTCGAGGAAATGCATGTTACTACACCAATTGACTTTTTTTTGTATATCTCTAAACACTGCAACAGATAAATGAGAATTTTGTATTTATTTAACAATATCAATTGCTTGTGACATCAAAATACTTAAAGTTGTTAAAAATCTGTGAACAGAAATTTTAACGATGTGAAATGCATCCGTAGCAATGAAGATGGGGATAACAATCTTTTAGACAAGTCCATGCATTTTTTATATTTGCAGCACTGCCAGTCACAATGCCCAAAACTTTGTGTTAGGATTTATTTCTTCTAAAACTTTCTTTATTTCATTTGCCATATATTACCAAGAATGGCTTAATGTTTCTACAAAACAATTTAGGGATATATATTATTTATACTTAACTATATAAATATTGTAAACCTATTTACTGATATATTGTTTCTGCTTACTGAAATGGTTTTCAGTGTTGTATGTTATAAATTTAATATCAACCAGTCTGTAAAAAAATCCATTGTATACACTTTAAAGTCTACCAGTCTGTAAAGTAAATCCATTGTATACAGTACTAAAATTATGGTTTTACCTGTAGGCATTGTCTTCCACAAAATAGGTGATGAAGAAGACAATCTCATTACAAAGTTAATGATAGCTTCATTTCTGTAAAGAAAAAACAGCATATAAACCAATATGATCTGTTTATTAACTAAATAATGTATCTTCAGTTGCATCAACTAATATTATAATGAAATGTTACTTTACCTTAAATTGTTCCATCACACAAAAATCCAAGATAATCTGCAGTTGCTACCATTTCATTAACATCTGCTAAAATCCTTGTAAATTCATTATCTAATAATACATTTGACACTTCGTGTCTTGACGGAAAGCTTTTAAGCAGGACGTAACTTGTTCAAAAAGTTTTCCAATAGTTATTTTCTATTATGTAGAGTGGTGATCCGCTTGCATATATTGCTCTGGCTAGATGTGTATCAATCAGTTAATGTCATATTGGTACATCAGTTAATCATGGAACAAATCTAAAATTTATACATCATGAATTGTTAATAAGCTAGCTGTTTCTTTACTCCACAAGATTGTTCAAATAATATATATATATATATATATATATATATATATATATATATATATAGTATATATATATATATATATATATATATATATATATATATATATATATATATATATATATATATACATATGAATATATATATATATATATATATATATATATATATATATATATATATATATATATATATATATATCAGGGCGCAACAAATTGACGAACGTGCAAACGTTTGTTAAAAAAAAGACAGAAAAATGAATGTCACGTTTCCTTAGTTTTACTTTAGCAGACATTGACGTTTGCTTAAAATTTTTAAAAACAAATCCATAACTTCAGTAAATTTTTTTCCAAATAATTATGCGATTGATAGTTTTTTATTTATTATAAAAAAAACATGTTTATTATAAAAAAATAATAAGATACTAAAATTTAAAACGCATTTTTGACGACTTTAAAAGAATCAATGCCAATACTTTCTTCAATAGCTTCAAAGCGTTACTTTTAAGTTTAATAAATATGCAGCTAAAAAAAGTGAAGTTTTAGCATGGTTTTTACATGCGTTTACAAAATTTTATCTAAAATAATTGCATTTGCAATTACTTTTAAAGTTAGATTTAGTAGCTTAAATGATGAATTTTTTTAATATTTCCCAAAAAAAACAACAAAAAACTGTCATATTTTTTTCAAACAATCTCTCTCTCTCTCTCTCTCTCTCTCTCTTTATATATATATATATATATATATATATATATATATATATATATATATATATATAATATATATATATATATATATATATATATATAAATTATGTTAGTGTATTCTACAAATAGAGTGCTCAATGTTCCTTAAAGAACAGAAGTAATAATAAATTATTAAAAACAGTTATCTAATTTTTATTTTCTTCTACAGCTTGTTTCTCCATCAATAGGATCATCACGAAGCTTACTGATAATCCTACTGATGGAGAAACAAGCTGTAGAAGAAAATAAAAATTAGATAAGTGTTTTTACTAATATATATAAATATATATATATATATATATATATATATATATATATATATATATATATATATATATATATATATATGTATATATATACACATATATACATGTATATATATATATATATATATATGTATATATATATATATATATATATATATATATATATATATATATATATATATATATATATATATATATATACATATATATACATATATATAGTTTGTATCTTTCAAATTTTAAAAAATAGGTCCTGTTCAAATTATTCTAAGTCCTCCACCACAGATTACTGCTATGGAGGAAACCCAGGTCAAAGTCAACTTTAGTGTTAGTGGTAATTCACCTATTAATTGGTTTCATGATGGAGTCCTTGTTGACACGTCATCAGCTGACTACTTGCAATTTGGAACCAACTATGTTATTATAAATAATATAATAAACTCTGATGCAGGAATGTATCAAGGAAGAATTGGAAACACAAATTTACATATATCTTTTGAGCTAATAGTTATTCCGAAAGGTAATTTTTTTAAATTTATTTTTGTTACGCTGAGATAGTTTTAAGCCATCTACGGCATTTTAAGAGATCTGCGAGATTAGGATGAAAAAACTACTGAAACACTTGTATGACTTAAAATACTAATGGGAGTCATTAAGTTTTTTTATTTGAGCTTTATAGTTTTCAAAATTTTATAAAAGTTTAGGAGTAAAATTATATTGTAGATTCCATTCCCACACAAGATACAGTCAACAGTCTGCTTATTCCTGGAAAGCCTTTGGATGTTATTGCAAAAGCAAGGTCAGCTACAGAGATTGATTTGGAATGGAAAGAACCAGCTGTACCAAATGGAGTTATAACCAGTTATGGAATCATTTACTACGATTCTCCTAGCACAGCATGTATAAAATAATATGTTTTATTACCCTTATATAAATATTTATTAAACCTAAAAATAAATTTTATCTTTATGTTTTGTCTTTTTTATAGTTTTTATATTGTATTCTTATGTTTATTATTTCTTTGTGAACAATATAATTAATATTAACAATATAAAATATTGTATCATTAATAGATAATTAATGTTATGATATTATAAAAAAAATTAAATGTGGTGTTAGATGACAAGATAAGGTATTTAAATTAGTTACGTAAGGATTATCAGAATCATTAGGAAAGTTGTTAAAATAACTTTTTTTAAATCTCAAAAAGTTCAAATCTTAGTAAAATATAATTTATAGGAAATAATTTAATTTAGCAATTAATTTTTTGATTTTTAATTTTTGTACTTTATTTGTAAACAGTATAGTATTGTAACTAACTATAGTATTTTTTGTTAGCACAAACTTAGATTAACCACAGTATTTTTTCATTCACACACAGTTAGATTAACCTCACTCTTTTTTTGTTAGCACAGAGTTAGATTAACCACAGTATTTTTTTGTTCGCACAAAGTTAGATTAATTACAGTATTTTTTTGTTAGCAAAAAGGTACAGTATTTTGAAAAAGTGAATTGTGAGTTTTTTAAAATTAGAATAATTTTAGTTTGGTCATTTGTTTTTACAATTTTTTAAAATGTTCTTGTTTTCATGTCTGTGTTTGAAGATTAGTTATAGCTTTTTATAAGTTTTCTTAATTCAAGTGAGTAATTAATTATTAAGTAATTATTTTAAATTTTTAATACAAGCATAGCATAGCAACATAAACAAACAGCATACAATTTTTCTTAGACATTATTGCAGGCACACACACAGCACACATGTTTATATAATTACTTACGATTATGGTAGTTATGTATAAATTATGATATATATATATTTATATATTAATTATGTGTTAATTTAAATTTTAGCTAAAATTACTGTTACTGATCCTACTCAAAGATTTATAACTGTAAAAAACCTTACTCCTGGAACTACCTACCAATTTAGATTACAGGCATTTAATAACAAAGGACCAAGTCTTTTAACTGATGCAGTTGGAGCCCGAACTTTGGATCTATCAAGCTTACCAGGGGTTGTAGAAAATTTAAAAGTTGTTCCATCTAAATCTTCAATGATAGTTTCTTGGGATTCACCAAAAAGGTAAGCAAGTCCAAAAAATTAGTGCATAATTTTCTTTTTAAATGTTCTATTTATATTGTTTAGAAGGCCTAATTTTTAAAATTACATTATAATAATATATATATATATATATATATATATATATATATATATATATATATATATACATATATATATATATATATATTATATATATAGATATATATATATATATATATATATATATATATATATATATATATATATATATATATATATATATATATATATATATAATATATAGAATATACAATATATATTCATATAAACATATTTTAATCAAAATAAGGTGCAAGCAGTTAATACTCCAAAAAAACTTAAATAGTTAAAATAAAAGTTTTGTTTAGTGGAGCAGGAAGCAGCGGAACTGGAGCAGGGGTTAGAAGTTATGCTGTTTTCTATACACCACAAGGGTTTTCTGGGAATCCTTTCAAAAAAGTAGGTAGTGGAACTACTTTGCAAGTTGATGATCTTACTCCCGGTGCAAGCTATCGTGTTTGGGTTGTTAGCTACAATAATGATATTGCTGGGCCTAAATCCCAAGAGCTTATTGTAGATATTCCATTTGGTAAATTTGCTTTAAAATGTTAAATATTTATATATATTCCAGTAATAGTGTTATATTTTGATTATTATAATCTGTATCTATTATTATTATTATTGTTTCGAAGTCATTTCTGTTGTATGTGTTTTAATAATTAAAGCATACAGCATAAGCAACAGTTTGTATGTATATATATCTATATATATATACATATATATATAAATATATATTTATATAGTACATATATAAATATATATACTATATAAATATATATTTATATATATATATATAAATATATATATATACATAAATATATATATATACATACATATATATATATATATATATATATATATATATATATATATATATATATATATATATATATATATATATATATATATATATATATATATATATATATATATATATATATAGAGGAGAGAGAGAGAGAGAGAGAGAGAGAGAGAGAGAGAGATATTTGGGTATTACAGAAAACAACATTTTTTGAAAATGTCTGCTCCTAACCCCTAAATGTGCATTTTTAAAAATGTTTGATATTAACAAATTTCTTTCTTTTCTCAACATTTGTATAAATAATATAAAATATGTTATATCTTTAATTTTTAAAATGATTATTTTTTAATTGCGGCTTTGCAACTTCAAATGATTTTTTATTTAAAAAAAGTAGCGAGTAACATATAAAAGAGTTACATTAATTTATTTACTTTATTTATTAAAAGTTTATTATTTTATTATTAAAGTTATATCGCTGTATATATTAAAAAATTTATTTTTATATAAAAAAAAAATTTATTAAAAAATTAATTTATTAATAGATTTTCTTAAAAAATTTTTTTTTTAAAAAAAAAGGCGTTTATTAAATCATTGTTGCGATTTAACTTGCGTTATAAAAAAAAAATTTAAGTACATTTTGTACAAATTTTTGATGCAGCCATTTATTTAAAATTTAATTTCGAGTAAAAAAAAATGTTTGGGTAGGAAAACCAAAAAACAATTGTGATGTAAATGAGCTATTTTTTTAAGAACAAATAAAATTTCTATATTAAATAGTTAAACCCAAGCATTAACTTATATTTTAATAAACTTAAGTATATTTTTGAATTAAAATTAAATTATATATTTATAAAATCTAAATTAAATTATATATTTTTTTTATCAGAAGAAAATTATATTTTTATTAAATTAGTTTTAAATTAAATCATAGAGTAAAAGTACCGCAAACTGGACACTCTTCACAAAAAGCTAAACAACTTTTTTAATATTGGGAATTTGTAGGATTTTTTTTCCTGGAATATAGTTGTTTATTAAAGCAATTATGCAATGAAAAAAAAAATTAACTTTCAAGTTTCTATGGAAAATAAGATTTTATTTTTTCAAAAAGTGTCCGCTTTTTGGAACATTATCCCTGAAAGCAGACTGTTCCAAATTATATGTGGTTTGGAGTTCGATCCCCACCACGTCCCTGGTAGTACCGCGCTCAACTCGTTTCTCCGCGCAGCGGCCTTGTTCGTCAAGGTTCGTGTTTCGGAGTTATAGAGTTGAGAGAGGGTTATAGCCACAAAATAAGTAGCCTCCTCGTCTGTAGTGGCCTTATCGGCCTTGAGGAGGTGAAGTAAAATTAAAAAAAAAAAAAAAAAAAAATATGAAAAAAACATAGGTAAATTGATAGATTCAATATTTTTATTTTTATTGTCAAAATATACACATAATAATAATACAAGCAGAAAAAACTAGAAAAAAACAAATAAAAAAACAGCAAGCTTGAGCTTGAAATAAAAATAAAAAATTTATAAACTAGGTTCTGCAACTTTACGTACAAAAGAATTCTTCACCTTTTATATATCTTTTTGGGAGACAAGGTTCACAAAGCCACGAACTGCAACTTGATTTTTTACAAGTTTCCATAAAACTTGCATCTCTGGCATTTTTGAAAAACTTCGGACACTTTTTGTACTTTTGGCTTTTTTGGCAGGAGTTTCTACTTCTACTGCTGCAACATCAACATATGTTCATTTTAATAGCTTTGTGTCTTCTTCTATTAACTTGTTTAACCATGCTTCTTCTGTAAAAGCTTGACCAGCCACTGTTCTAACATTTCTGGCATTTTGGAATAAAAATTGCTTCAAGAGAGCTCTTTCAAGACTGATTTTTATATAAGTTGCCAATTCTTCTTGAAAAGTTGAAAATTTAAAGTTGAAATTGAAGTTGCAGGCAGAATTAAGGTTTGTGTTTGTTAAGCAGTTTGAGGCAAAAAACTTGGACTGCATGGTGATTTTATAACTGCTGATGATATTATTAAGGTGTTATTAAAAGTTTGACAAATTTTTAAGTTTGATTTGTCAATGTTGTTTTGATTTAATAGAAAAAGTCCAGTGTTTTTAAAACCAGCAATAGTTTGAGTACGAGTGTAAGCTTTGTTGTTTCTATGCAACTCTGCAAGGAGACTTGGGAAAATTTTTTTGGACAAATTGCTAAAATCAATTTCACCATAAAATTTTCTTAAAATATCACGCTAAACATTTTTAACATGGCAAAATACACCAACATCAAGAGGCCGCAGAATGTGAGATGAATGGGCGGGAATGCAAATTAGTGTTATATTGTTTTCTTTACACTAACGCTACACTTAGTGACATGTGTGTGCTGTGGCCATCCAAAAGTAAAATATGTTGACCACCAATTTTTTGAATGTGAGGAATAAAAATTTCATCGAGCCACTGCAAAAATTGATTACTTTCCATCCAACCAGATGATATATAGTGCTGCTGTGTAAAGTGTGTTTGGTGGGCCTCCTTTAATCTAATCATCAAAGAGTCGATTCTTTGATTTGTAAACAACAAAAGGCGGTAGAAGGAATCTGTCAGCATTAACACAATTAAGAACAGTGTAGTTTATTTTTTCGTTTTTTCCAGCTAGTACTAGTGGACACTTTGCACTTCTTTTGATAATTACTTTTGAATCACCTTTGTCATCATTGAAACCAGTTTCATCACAATTCCACAAATGCATGGCTTTACTAAAAACTATTTTTGCTAAATCAAAATGTTTTTTCAAAACATTAAAATAACAGGCAATAATTTCTGGTGTGCATGACTCTGCTCTCAAAGATGCGATGTTTGTAACTGTACATTCGCTTAGTTCTGAGTGCCATTGACTCATAAATCCTTTGTACCATTTGTAACCAGACGTTCCATTTTTGAACAAACGCGTTTCATTATTTTCAATTAAATAGTCTCTCACTAAACTTTGAATTTGATCTAATCGTCTACCAAAGCCCTAACTGCCAAGCATCGGTAGAAGGTGAACCAAGGTTAACTCGATAAAAGGGCTCAATTTTGTTGTATTGCCACTACCAACTACTAAAGACTTATTTGATTTTCGGTTTGATAACGTTGATTTTGGTATGCAGTAGAATTGAATAGAAGAAAAGATGCACTTTTGCGGTTAATTTGTGTACTTTTGTGCTTTAACTTCAACAGTATAAGTGCAAAAGTACAAAATTAATATTAACATTAAAGTGTGAAAACTTAAAAAACCCAGATGAAAAAAATTCAATCAGTGTGAAAGCATAATAAAATAAATTAACTTTAACATAATAAAAAAATTCAATTAGAGTGAAAAAATAATAAACAGATTAACCTATTAAATTTTAATTGATTAAAGGGTGGATTTATTGTGTCCAGTTTAAGGTGAAAACTGAAGAAAATCTTATTTCTGTCATAACTTTTTAACGGAGTAAGATTATGAAAATCTAAAACTATTTTTAAAATTAGCAAAACATTTTCAACAAAATAGCTTCCTTTGTTTTTAAATTGCTTTTTTAAATCTTTCATGCTAAGAACCTAATTTCCAAAAAAAAGCTTGACTTTTAGTGTTAGATTTTGTTGATCTTATTAAAGTAATCATCTAAATAATTTTTTTTAAAATCTTCATAATTTTCCATACACTAAAAATTTAAAACTTTTTTAAATTTTGCAAATATTTTTATTTTTAGTGAAGATATTTAGTTTTTTCGATGTGTCCGCTTTTGCGCTCTGTATAGTTTGTGGTACTTTTATTCTATATTTTTTTATCAGAATTAAATTATGTTTTTATGATCTTTGCTTCAAGTTTAAAAAATCAATTATTACAATAAAATGAAAGCAAAATAAAAATAAGCTTTTAACTTTAATTGAGTTTTTTTCATAAGTAAATATACCAAATATAATTGCGCTTATACCAAATATAATTGTCATTTTATTCTTTTGTAGCAAATATTTTTTAATAAAGGTCATTCAAATGTTAAAGTGACTTTTTTTAAAATTAATTACTTCTATTATCGTACCACTTATAGAATAAATAAAAAGTAAAAAAATGATAAAAAGTCACTTAACCAAAATTGTATACTGCTTATGTAAAAATCGCTTAAGGCGAACATAAATTTCTCTATGCGTAACGCTTTAAAACAAGGCCTATTATATGTGTGTGTGTGTGTGTGTGTATATATATATATATATATATACATATATATATATATATATATATATATATATATATATATATATATATATATATATATATATATATATATATATATATATATATATATATATATATATATATATAGGGGCTATTCTAGAAAAATAATTTGGGCGGCGGTACCCCCTGTTCTGTAAAGAAATTCTCAGTATGAAGGAATTTTTTTTGCGAAGAAAATAATATTTGTCATAATAAAAAAAAATTTGTGCTGCACCCAAATAAGGTTAACGCTGTCGAAAATGGTCTAGATTAGCACCTGATTTTTATATATATACATATCTCAGGACTTATATTAATGCAAAAAACTCTAATCACAAGTAAATAAATAGAATTATTAAAATATTGTAATTGATTTTAATAAGTTAGAATTGATGAAAACATTGTCATAAAACAGTTTCTATTCAATTAAATTTATTATTATTGTAAGCATACATTAAAAATTTGCAAAATTTTTGTAAATTTTAAGTTTTAAAAGACTAAAATTTTCTTTTCCAAAAAGATTTCCTTTTAAAAGGAATTCCTAACAAAAACTTGTGTGTTTATAGAAAATATTTTATTATCATACTTATCTTTTTGATTTACTTTATTAGTCAATTTATTAGTTTATATATAAAGTAAATCACACTAAATTTCACTTTAAAATAAAAAATTATTCATTTTCACACAAAGTATTTTAAATTCAAAAATATTTTATGTTGAATAAAAATGTGCAAGAGAGCAAATGATCTTTATTATTATTATCTTACTTATTATTAAGTTAAATTTAGCATGACGTACTTTACAAATAACTATTAATAAAAAACATTTATTCTGTATTATTCTGTTAAAAAAAAAACAATAAATTGCAAATTTATTGTTTTTTTTTTAAATTAAAAAAAAAACAATAAATTGCAAACATATTTTTTTAAGAAAAAATAATTACGAAGTTACAAAAAGCCGATATATATATATATATATATATATATATATATATATATATATATATATATATATATATATATATATAAATATATAAAAACAGAAAACTTGAACTTTTTTAGAAAAAAATGTTAGAAGCAGTTTTTGCTTTGAATGTTTTTCATATGAGATTTGATAAAGTGAAAAAACCAAAGTTAAAAAGTAATAAGAAATTATTTTAAATATTAAAAAAAATTTTTTTTTATGAATCTAAATAATATAAAAGTAAATTTATAAAATGGATTTCTTATAGCATCTGAAGCTCCTCAACCAGTCATAAACCTAGTTGTTACTCCAGCATTAACAACTGTTGCAAATGTCAATTGGGAACCTCCTCAAAGGTAAGTTTTTTTGACAGTATTAAGTCAATGAAGATAAGTAAAATATAGATATCTTCATTGTTATCATCATCATCATCATCATCATCATCATCATCATCATCATCATCATCATCATCATCATCATCATCATCACCATCATCATCACCATCATCATCATCATCATCATCATCATCATCATCATCATCATCATCAGTATATCATCGGCTCACAGGATTTTAGATTATTATCGTGCCGCTTGGTATTTTTTAATTTTTTTTTCAGTATTATCAATAAGAAAGATCTAAAATTATTAGATATGTTATTTTTGAAAAAAAATGTTGAGAAAAAACTGTAAATATAAGAGCCGTTTTAAAAAATGCATTGCATTACCGAATGCATCGAAAAAGAGGGTTTATACATGGGGATCATAAAAATGACATTCGGGTATGTTTTTTTTAATCGTTTTCTTCAAATCAAGCTATAAACTAAATAAATCCACATTTCTAAATTTTGACATTTTTCATATCATCGTGGCGTTTTTAAGTTTCTGAGTTCAAGTAAACTTTATATAATATATTAGTTAACAAATCTCGTACTTGGGTTTTCAAAAAAAAAACATTTAACAAAATTTTTTTATATACATTTTAAGAAAATTTTTTCTGCTGGATGTAATATTTACTAAATCAAATGTCTAAAAAGTATAAACTTTGCTTTTAAAACGTAAAATATTTTTTGGAAATTTGGTTTTAACTGTGAGATGTTGCATTACCAAAACTACACAGGTTGCACTACCGAACTTTCTGGTTTTCGCTTATAAATGAATTTGAAAGGTCTATTTTGCAATTGTTTTTAAGTTATTATTTTAATATAAAACTTATTTACTCTTTTTTATCCAAAAAATAAAATTGATGCAAATAATAATTGTAAAGTCGAACGGAAATTATTCAAAGTTTTAGAGGCTCGTTATAGGACTGTCAGGGTAAAGAAACAACAATCAATTAAAAGAGGAGAAATTTTTATTTACAGAATATAAAACTATATATTAAACCTTTATGAAAATAGATTTTAAATAAATAAATAAAACTTTTAATACAACGTTTATAGTTAATAACTGCGCTCATTTTGAATACACAAATAACACTATTTTTGATTATTTTAGAATAAAAATTTACAACAATCCTCTGACATCTTTTTTTAAATCAAAGTAATACATTTTTTAAGTATTTTTAAGTTAATTTTGACTTTATAAAAAAAATACACACAGCAAAATGTTGTTTTAAACAACCTTCCCAGCAAACATTTTACAGCGGAATTTTAGTAGACTTTTATAGGCATTTTAAGAGTTTCTCACTGTTTTTCCACTTTAAAAAGGCTCATTAGTTACATAGTGGAGCATTAGTGGCAGCCGCCATACTAGCTAGCCAACAACTAGCTTTTTTATTACATGTTGAAGAGTTATTGGCTATCCACTTTTAGCAAATCCCTTAAGTAACCTACGAGCAAAACTCCAATAAACCGCTCAATATAGGTTTACTGTACAAAAAATCATGATTAATATCATTATGTATCTTATTTAATTGATCATAAGTTTGAGAATCATAGTTTTTGCATAGATGCTTTAAATGCATAGTAAAATTACCATTTTAATGTGTTAGAAATTTTTTCTAAAATTTGTGTTAGAGAGTTTTGTCTTGTCGACAAAACTCTCTAACACAAATTTTAGAAAACTTTACTTTGCAGCAATTTTATTGATTATAACTCAATTTTAAAAATTACTGTAAACATTTTTTTATTGCAAAATTTACACAAATTGTACAGAAGAGAATGGACACTAGATTTTGTGCAAACTTAAAAAGGAACAAGCACACCACTACATTAAAAAAGAAAGTTAACTAAATCTTTGATCAATTCTATCCAGAACTTCCATAAGCTAGCAATAAGAGAAATCTTAACAATTTGTATGCTATGAAAAAAGCTGTTTTGACGATTTTGTTTCTTTGTACAGATTTTGACAACAAGGAATGTTGACACCGTATGTGCCCAAGAGACAATGAGACTTGATGCAAATATCATTTAGACATGGTGAAAATACTTATGTAGAGCAAGTAAATATTTCTACTTCAGTCTTCAACATTTTAAAACCAACTTTTACTGATGTATCTTCAGATGATTTACTAAAATGCCAACGAGACACTTAACCAGATTATTTGGAGATGCTGCCCAAAAAATATTTTAGCAGGCAGAGATTTCTTAGAGCCTGCAGTTAAATCATATGTTATTGAATTTAATGAAGGTCCTAATGGAATACTATTTGTACTAAATAAATTAAACTAACAGGATATGTTATGTCGATGAAACTTAATAAAAAGAATAAAGAAGCTATAAAGCGGTCTCTTCAAAAGTCCACTGAACGTGTCAAAAAGAGAAAAAAAATAGCTAATAACAATTAAAAAGACTTAGACAAAGATGATAAAAAAAAAACTTACAATATATTCCTGGAGGGTTTTGATATGTTTATATGAACATTTTATTATAATTTTATTCTTTTGTTTTATATATTTGTCGTTTCCTCAGAGTTAAGTTTTGCTTCGAATTTAATTCTTTAAAATATGATAACTTTAAACTCATTTAAGCTTTTGATCTAATTTTTTTTTATTTTTCACATAATTAAAAAGGATCTGGATGAGAGAAGGATATTTAAAACAAAATAAGGAAATTACTTTTTTATGAGACTTTTTTATGAGAAAAAAAGTTGCACATTCCTCCTGCAATTTTTCTACGTTTGTTTTAAATATTGTAACCTTTTATATACTATAAATAATAAAAAATGCTTCACTTATTCGAATTAATATACCTCATTAGTATATACACCAATTTTCAGCTTGATATGATAAATATTTTTATTGCTAGCTTGTCAAAAAAAATTGCTAGTTTTTTATTCATTTTTTAAATAACTTGTTAATTAAAACATTTTTTTTTAAGTTGATTTTTGTAAATAGTTTATAGCACTATATTTTTGGTAAAAAATATAAATCAAAAACATTTTTTTAACAAAAGTTAGCCTTTTCTGTGACCACCTTAAGCTTAAAAAAAATTTAAAATTTATTTAAAATCTATACTTTAAAACAACATTTTTTACCATGTAAAATAAGAGTTGTTTATTTGCAGTTTTTACAATAATGTTATTTAGAATTGAATATTTATTTGGAAAAAATGCCTTAAAAGTGTATTTGTGTCAAAAAAAGTACTAGAATTAACTGCATCTTTATCCATTATTAAATATAATGATGGATTTATTAGAATGGAATTTATTTTTGGGCACGCCAGTATAATTTTGACCTACATGATCCAGTATAAATAGGGTTAAGTTGTATATCGGGTGGACACAGAAAAATCCGGTCATCTTTAAATTGAGATTTCTCCAAAACCACAAATGCTTTTTATTTAATTTTTTTTTAATTAAACCTTACTTCCTTATCTTAAATGGTGTTGATACATTTAAGTTTACAAATTAAGGATTTGCAAAATGTTTTGGAAACAAGTTGAGGTGCGTAAAAAAGTTGTGAATTTTTTTTTCAAAAATCCATCGACTTCTTATCGCTTGATTGCTAAACGCACAAATGTCCCAAAATCTACAGTCATAGATATTATAAACAAGTTCAAGACTACTCAAAGCTTTGAAAGAAAACTTGAAAGTGGAAGAAAAAAAACTTTCCATAAATCCAAAAAGGTAAAGTCGATTTTACGTTCAATAGCAAGAAATCCAAATCAGTCACAGCGAGATCTAGTAAGAAAATTTAAGACTTCTCGTTCTTATATCAAAAAAGTACTTAAAAATGCTGGAATTAAAGCATTTCATAAAAAAAATACACCTAAGAGAAGCTTAAATTGTGAAATTAAAGGAATTTGGCGCGCAAAGAAGTTGGTTAAAATAATGGCGGATAAAAATATGTGCATAATTGAAGACAACGAAACGTATTGCAAGGCGGATTTTTCACAACTTCCTGGTCAACAGTTTTACTATGAAAACAAAGATAAACCTGTCGATGATCAATTTAAATATATTCGACGAGAAAAATTTGCATCCAAGTTCCTTGTGTGGCAAGCAATTTGTAGCTGTGGTATGCAGTCCTCTTGTTTTATCACTAAAAAGACCTTGACTGCCAATCTCTACATCAAAGAATGCCTCCAAAAAAGACTTTTGCCTTTTATAAAAAAACACAAATACCGATGTCTCTTTTAGCCCGATCTTGCTGCCTCTCACTATTCTAAAAAAGTTTTACAGCGGTGCAAAGATAATAATGTGAAAATTGTTCCTAAAGATGCGAATCCTCCAAATCGTCCTGAAGAGCGCAAGATTGAAGATTTTTGGGCAATAGTTAAAGGAGTTCTTCGTAAGACAGGTGGACTAACAAATAATAAAAAGGACTTCCAAAAAAAGTGGATTAATGCCACCAATATGGTGAAAAAAGAAAAAATCCGTAAAATGATGGCATCAACCCGCTATAAAGTTCGATTTCTTGCCAAGCAACCCATCAAGCTCCTTAAAATTAAGTTGAAACTCTAATTTATGTAAACACATTTAATAATAAAAAAATTGAAATAAAAAGCACTTATGGTTTTAGAGAAATCTCAATTTAAAGTTGACCGGGTTTTTCCGTGACCACCCGATCCTAGAGATAAGATTATTTATTTAATGGTTTTATCTTGAGATGAACGTTTTATGTTTATGTAAAAGTTGATGTGCTTTTCTTTATATATTAAATATTAAAATGCGGCGCTATCTGGAAATTTGAATAGATTACAAAATATTTATGCACCTTCAACAGCCATCTCACCAAGCCCATAAAATCAAAAGAATATCCATAGTTTTTATAGATAGGAAAAGATAAAGCAAGATATTACACGTTTTAAAAATCTTGGGTTTTTACAAATCTTAGACCAATGAAGCAGTAATATTTTGTCAGTATGCTTGTTTTATCATAATGATTCATTGCTTCAATAAGTTTGCAAGTAGTAAA